ATACAGTAGCACAAAATCAGAGTGCTGTGGCTTTTTAACACCATCTTCTAGATGTGCTGACTTAAAGTTGAGAGTGTCGGAGGGCTCACATTTCAAAATATAACTCTGGCCCTCCCACTCCTGCAGACCACATGGGAGCCAGTCAGTACATCAAGCTGTTGTTTGCCATTATCATTTTTCTGCTTTATTTGATGAAGCACCCTTACAGACTTCTTCTAGGAAGAGGATCCACCTACCAGTGTCATGCTGACTTCCATCTTCCCCATGTGCCGTATGCCTTTCAGCTGTGTAACAAACTTGGGAAGATGTGGGGAAAAAGAGTGTTAACTAAATTGTTTCTCAGCATTTCACTAGGAAGTAACTCTGTCCTTTGTTGTTTATTTATAATGAATCTTTAAGCAGGGCATGTGGGGGGTTGTTTTGTTTTGGTTTTGCTGACTCGGCAAACTGATACTTTGAGAGAATTGTCTAGAGAAAGCAAAGAGTCCTTTATGATGTCCATCACTACCAAGCGATTTGGCAGATTCCTCCATGAGATGCGCAATCCGATAGGTTGAGAGCGCACTTGGCTGGCCAGTCACCAGCAGAAAAGCTCAACTTAAACACTTCTAAAATTTTATTATGCCCAATTTATGCATTTGGCTGAAGAAAGGAAGAGAATGAAAAATAGAGGCAGCTGAGTGTCAGTGAAGGGTGGAACACTGATGTCATTTTCATTGCAGTGCTGCACAAAAAAAATACTGACTTTGTACATACACTGGATCTAGCTAAGGCAAGCATGTGCTAAGTAAACCTGCAAAGATGATTCCATTTGTCCAGAAGACCAAGGTGATGTATCACCATGTCATTAATCAGAGGGCAAGGACCTTCTGTTTGCCTAGCTATAGTGGACAGACGGCCCAGCCAGGGCTTTTGCAGAATCTGTGGTGCTTTCCAAATTCACATCCAGAGGGAGAGCCCTTCAGCCTCAGCACTAAAACCACCAGTCCAAGACTGGCTTTGGTTTGTGCCTGAGGGCCGTGAGGTAGGAAGGGGCTCTGAGCCACCACAGCTCACACCCCCAGCGGTACCTTGGGGAAGGAAGGCTCTTCACTTCTGCATTTCCCTGCTGGTTTCTGAAGTCGAAGCAGCACAAAAAAATGTGTTGCATAGACATAGATCTGGACATTGAGACACGCTTCAAGTAATGGCTAGTTTCTGGTCTTTCTAGAAAAATCTGTTTGGTTTTAATCATCCCCAAAAGCCTACCTGTCTTGGCTGCATTAAATGATCCTTGAAATGTCTGAATGAGACATAGAGCTGTTGGCAAAGCCATACAGACACTTAGCAGGAGAAATGCTGTGAGCTTTGGTTTTACGGAGTAGGCCTCTCAAATCAGCATTTAAAGCATAAAATTGTCAACTCCCCAGACAAAAAGAATGCTGAAAATGTAAAAATCTTGTTCACATTACAGTTTGTCATCTATTTTGAATATTATTTCAAACATGATAAGACAGAGATTCCACCAAGCTTTTGCAGCCAAGAGTAGAAACCAGGCCAAACACTACCTGAGCATAAAGGCAACAGGACAGCATATGTTAACATGCTAACAACGAAATATTTTGCCATTATAAATAGTGGCATAACTTTGCCAGGTCGACATGGAGCATGAAAAAATCTCCATCTGCAGACAGGGTAAGAAAAAATAATGCTTAGGGAGGGAATTGCAAGACCTAAACACCAACCAGGATTTATTACTAAACACCATTCAAATCAAGCCAGGGTGGGGAGAGAATAGATGGTTAATGGCTTAAACAGGGCAAATCCTACATTTTGTAAAAATGTGTCTTTTGATTAACACCTAATAAGAGTCTTTAGATTAATACCAAAAGGCAAAATGTATCTTCTTGCTCTTTTTTTTTGGCACTTAGTTAAGAAAAACCTCTGGTCAAAACAAGTTCCTGCCCTCCAGCTGGATGAGCACTGAGACACCTCTGTCACAGAGTGACGGCGTGCTCGAGCACCCTGCCAGGCAGGGCTGGCTGCTGCTGTGCCAAGGAGCAGCCTGTTTCTTGGAGATGTTTATGCAATTCAACTGTGCTGCTTCTGAAGCCACAGACCCTAAAAAAGGGGGAAAGACAAAGAACCTCTCAGGTCATTAGTGTACCTCACTCGGGTTTTGCCTTCCACCAAATACTGTCAGATTTCTGTTTTGTTTGGACCTGAAGGGTGGAGGGAGTTGGAAAGTTGCCTTCTCTGCTGTCAGTGCTTCCTAATGATGTTTCTCACTAGAGAAAATGAGCTTGTTTGTTTGAGAATCCAAATTCCCTGTGGGGCACAGTTTGGGAAACTGAAGATATGGGAAGGAAAATAATATTCGTTAGGGCAGAGTATGAACAGCCATAAAGCAGAATAGTGAAACACCTACAGAGTATGTTGTAGCTTTGCCAGCAAACTAATTAACGTCTCACTGACTGAGGAGAGAGCTGTGACAGCCAAAAAGTTAAAATAAAAATAAATCAGAAGTTTAGTCTAGTGATTAAAACAGGAAATTACTGCCAGAGTCAGGGCTCCTCCGTTCTGCTTCCGATTTACTGAGCAAATTGGAGAAGCTAAATTTTAAAAGTAGCTTCTAATTTGGAAAGCTTTCATTTCTGATGTCCAGCTATGCACACAGACAACTTCGCCAACTAGCATCTTCCGTGTCCTCCTGTGCATTTGTGAGGGCAGAGCATTTCAGGCCATTGGTGTCTCTCCAGTCAGCTACACTTACTGGCCAGCTCAAAGTGGCCATCCCTGAAAGTTTCCCCTGCCTGTAAATTGTGTCTAGCACAACATACCGCTGTGGGAGTCTGATGTTTAAATGCTCTTTATGGCTGGCATAACATATTGCAGTGGGAGTGCTATGTTTAAACACCGTTTGTAAACATTTACAAGAGTTCTCAGACACCTTCTCTCTCTAAAGCCAGGGCTTTAGTTTTGGAAATAATGCACTTGGTGGCCTGCTTGTTTTCTGAAAGGACTGCTTCTCAGTAGGGGCAATGAAGCTCCATTGCCAGGTCTGACTGCAGGATGAGTTTAAGTGAAGTGCAGCTGAAACTGAGAATCAAAAATAACTCATCTTCTGTTCAATAGCATAACCTGAACTGAAACTACAAATAAAGCAGTCTGTGATGCCTCAGGAGGAGGGGGAGCATCTCTGAATCATGGGAGCTCTCTGTACACAGGGTGCCTGTTCAATTCCCTCAACTTTCTAAATGAAATTTCTCATGTGGCTCCTTCTTATACTGACTCGAGTTGTGCTACAAATTCCTCAGAGGCAAAGTCAAGTTAAGTGTCCAGAACAAGGATGTCTCCATAAATTGATATTTTCCTGCCCACAGTTCAACTATAATCTCCCATCCTTTTCAAGGGACACCATGGATCAGAGGGTTACATTCCGGTTGCCTGCCAGCATTTATTTAGTCACAGAAGTCCAAATGTTTCTCATTATATCAATTCACTTTATTTTTTTAATTATCATTTCTGTGCAATATTTATGTAAATATATGTGACCCACTGTCAGCTTCATCTTTACTATGAGCCAGAATATTTACAGTGGCTTGTCAGATTGTCATGAAGCAAGTTATTATAGGTGTTTACTTATTTGTAACAGAGTTTGCTACCGCATCTGACCCCTTAAAGAATGTTACTATGCTGAGGAATAAGCATGAAAAATAGAGAATGTTGTTTACTGACACTACAGATAGGGGGAAGGGAGGGAAAGAGAGGCCGCAGTAAGTTTAATGTCCCCTCTTCCGCCTGTCAGCGTGCAGGGGGGAACACCCTCAATGTTCCTTTCCCTCTTGGTCCCACATGCAACCCTGGAGGTAACACAATGTACACCATCTCCATCAGCCATGGGAGCTCAACTCTCAGAGCTCCTGCCAAGCTCAGGTCTTCTGCCAACCACCTGCTTCTTCAACCCTTGTTTTCACATAGAAAGCAATTTGGACCTACACACTGAGAAATCATACAAGCTCACAAAACAAAAACAAACCCTTTCGCAGCAGGATGGGTCATTTAATTTTTCTAAACTTCATCCGGGAATGTTAAAAAAAAAGAATCATACCATGCTGCCACTATACAGGCAAAGTATCTGCTAGAGACTACAGAAAACGTTACAGCTGTCTTCGGTGCAGCTGTATGCAATACTCTCACCTTCACCTTATTAGCATATTATGTACCTTACTATATTTTTGTTACATACAACAGTTTTAGTGAATGCATTTAGAAAAAAACTAAAGAAGTATTTGCATAAGGTCATTGCTTACTCTACTTGCTTCCCTAGTTAAAAAGGCTTTCTATAGGGGACGTATAACATTTAGGCATTACAACAGTCCATTTGAGAATCCCTTCCTCTTTCCTTCAAGATGCAGAAATCAGTGAAAACATTTACCAAGAACAAGAAACCAAATTAAGTTCCTCAAATTAATGATTTCCACTGATCAAAGCTATATCTTTCCTTCATACTCAATCCCAGTTTGTGCACTCCCATATAATATGTATCCACATCCTAATAAATTGACAATATTTCATTGTTTAGAGTGTGCAAAGCTGAATTATAGAAGTCTTTCTTAGTTATAGGTTCTAACAGGGAATAAGCAAGAATCTAGTTCAGAAATACAGTCCTTTACTAGTGATGTACTTCTACAGATGCTATACATAATCCTAGCAGCATGTACTTAGTAGAGATGATCTTAAAATGAAATGGATATGAAAACCATTCATTGCAAAAAGGGTATGGGCATGTTTCTAAATACTATGTTCAGTGTCACAAGTCGTCTTGAATATTTGACTACTTCTTACGGAAGTAACTTGCAGAACTCAAACACTAACTTCAACATACAGACTCTCCATTAAGGGGATATGACCTTCATGTCTGCAACCAATATATTTTGCCCAAATCTTACTTTACTACTACTCTCCCACACCCTGGGAGATTCACTGATCATTCACTGCTTCTTCCCTTTGTTTTGTAGGCTCGTCCAAAAGGAGAAGGCCTGACACCATACCAGGGCAAGAAACGCTGCTTCGGTGAATATAAGTGCCCCAAATGCAAGAGAAAATGGATGAGCGGAAACTCCTGGGCTAACATGGGACAAGAATGTATCAAGTGCCACATTAATGTTTATCCTCACAAACAGGTAGGAGAAATGCGTACCTGCTGGCATACAGACTTGAAACTAGGAATGCTTTTAACTCTGTAAAGCATGGGTAAGACTTAAACAGGACTTGACACAGACTACAACATGTCACCAAAGCTTGTTTCCCACATGAGCTGCTATTTTCAGCCCTTGAAGTCTGGACTGGTGTCAGAGTTACAAAATTCAAGTGTTCTATCCTTGAGAAAAAATGCCTCCAAAACAAAATCCTTACATGCCTTTGTTATAAAAACAGGCTATGGGGCCTTATAAACAAATACGGTGTAAACCAAGTTCAGCAGTTAGCAATGGGCCTCCTAGTTCTTCTGACTCACTTCAGGCTTACGCTAATTTAACGTTTCGTTCCACTGGTGTCAGTGGAACTATTTCCCATGTGTACTACTTTTTTCAACAGGTGAAAAAAGACTGGATTTGGTCAAGGGATCACATCTATTTATAAAGATTACCGATAAAAGAGAACAATACTGAGGTGACTCCTGCCTACAGAATTCTTTGGTTAATGACAGTAAAGCAAGACAGCGTAGTTAAAGAAAGGTTTCTAAGTTTACATAATACCAAGTGATGCTCAAGCAAAGAATGTCAAGAGAAGGCCTTTTATTAAGCTGAAAGGGCCAAATCTAAGAAGTAGCTCTGCTGGGAAAGCTCTGTCTGCTATCCTGTCAGCCATAACCCACACAGTACACACAGCCTTCTTTCCAGCTCACTGCAGATTGCAGTTTCCTCTCTCTCTTGAGGTGATTTCCTGCATTTCCAGCTCACAATAGGAAAACCGACTGTCAGTTTCCCCTTGTATCACACCACAATCAGTCACAAGCAGTCAACCAATTCAGCAGTCCTTGGTGGGAGGCAGACAGACCAACTGCATGAGTTCATACCCCTTGTTTCCCCAACAAACCAGGCTTACAAGACTGGCTGTCAAAGCTGACTTTTCTTTTTCAAAGACTTTTTCAAAACAGAAAGTCACTTTTGACTTTGACAACCCCATGAAAAAATAAATTTGCCCATCAAGGAAAAATTTGAGGGATATTGCAGAAAAGTGTTATGGAAGAAAAGGTGAGAGTTAATTTTAAAGAGTTTAGAAGGTGTGATTTACCTCAGGTGTAATTCATCCTAGCTAAATCTCAGTAATAGAGCTCTGCATGGGTCAAATTACCTCCTGCACACTCAGAGAGACTGCTCAAACCATAGACAGATCATTTAGATGTACTTGCAATAGGTGCAAAGGAATTCCATCAGGAGCCTTAGGAGTCTCATTAGTTACTTAAGTACTTCCAAAATTCCCATAAAAAGCTCTTTGCATGGGCTCGTAAGGAACACTCATACCAGTTACTAGTATTTTGGAGAAGGGTGTCAGGAGAAAAAAAAAAACAACAGATACTGTGACTTTACTATGATGAAAAGACAGAGGAATATTGAAATTCATTGCAGCAAGCAGGAAGAAGAGATAAAAATAAGTTTGTTAAGCTTTATCCCACACAGGAACATCAAATCAGCTGCATTTCTTCCTTTTGCAGACATGTGCATATTCACTGAATTCTAATGGCAAGATGTGGCTTAGTCTCTACAGCAACACTGCATTCCAATATGCAGCCAAAATATTGACTTACACTTGCTAGTACCTTGAAGCAGTGTGAATTACAGTTAAAATGTAGCATTTGAAGCCTGTCACACTTGTGGCAGAAGCCTTAGTTTAAAATTCAAATACTTCACCAAAAGATGATCATCCCTTCTTTCTATCATGGGAGTTTTTCTACTTCACAATGAACTTGTACAATTCCCTGGTTGAGCCAGTGAATATCTGCATTTCTGTTGGCCAGTTGAGATGTGAACCATTTGCCTTTGTCTGGGCTAATGCCACTCATGCCAAACCAGAAAACAAGAGGTCATCTTTAGAAACTGAAGTCTAATTTCCCTGACAAAAGTGTGACTAGAGACTACATTGCAAGTGAAAAAAAGCAAGGACCCCTTTTCCTGTGGAAGCATATATATGGAAGGAAAGCTAAGCAATTTTCTTTCACTAACTTATATGAGACAGTCTCAAAGCTTCCAAGATCTCTGGTTCCTTGCCTCTGTTTATACAGCTTGTGCAGACAACTGCACCAAAATCCAGGCAGAGCAATGAAGTCATTTATCACATGCATGGAAGTATGGTCTTGAGGGTGAGAGAAATTGCAAGACCATTAATTTATAACACAAATCTATAAATATTTACCTTGTTCTTCTAAATTCTTTCCATCATTTATGGTACTGTTCAAAGGGTCACAAGAAATCTCTTGAGGTATCCCAATCCATATTACACAAGAAGCATTATCACCTGGGGGTATGTATATTTTGTAGTAAAGAAGGTTTGAAAGTAGTTTCTTTGGCAGAGTTGCCCCTTGTGGCAGGGTGAAAAGAGTCTAATCTAGTAGTACTAAAGTCAAAGAAATACTGAGGAAGCACTGTGGTCTACAGTGCTTCCATAAGCTGTGCTTACCTTGGAGCCATATACATTGTGTTTTCCAGGTAATAATTGCAGCATGTGCAGTGCAAGTTTCCACAACTGACCGCAATCGCTGTGTTTCCATGCCATTCCTTAAAGACACCATAACTCAGGACATGGAAAAGCTTTGATTTTCTTATCTATCCAGGTGTTCATGTCCCACTACTATGTATTGCAGCTATTCAAGATCTTCAAGACAAGAATGCATCTCAGCTAGGCTTCCAGATATAAGTAACTTGCAGCCAGTTGCTAATGGTCTTTCCCAAAATCTGAACTTAACAACCTTGAGCTAAAAGACTTTACATCCTATTGTCACTGCCTCATATCCATCTGCTTCTATTTCTCAGTGTTAGTATAGGGATTCATCCTAGTCTTTTTCATTCTTCCAGAGGTGCCCTGTGCTGCTTTTGATTAAACATACCAGCAATAGCCAGACAGTAAAGAAAACGTTATCAGTTTATGCACAGAGCCAGCAGCAAATGAGAGGTGGCAGGCTGCATGAGGTCAGCACTGCTTCTTGACAGAGCCTAGTGTTTGCTAACCCATACATGTTTTTTGTCCAAGCATCCAGCTCCGCACCAGACTCTCTGTAAACATTTGTCAGATCTATCCGTGTGGTGTTATTCTGCACCATTTTGAAAAATGTGCTGTACCCAGTCACCAGTACTTTTACACCAATGATAATATTTTGTTAATCTACAGTGAAAGATATTTAATTAAATAAGTGCAGTATTTGTAATTTGAGAGTTAAAGCACAAAAAAAATCTTATTGTTCACATAAGATTGTTTTAAATTAGCACTGCTATACCACCTTAACATTTTCTGCATATATTTCCTATTTATTCTTTAGATTTTGATAACTTGAATTACTTTGCACCTACCATAGGAGAGTCCTTATTCATGTTTGAGTTTCAATGTACTTCTAGAAGATTTTAGCAATCACTTCCCCCACCTTCAGTGCATTAATGGATGTCCTCAGCTAATTACATGCTCCTTCCACCGTTATTATATGGTATGAGAGTATTTTCAGTCTAATCTGAATCTTCCATTAGCCAGTTTTTATCAGCTTAAATAATTTATCTAAGAAAAGATGCTGCCTCTCCATAGAAGCCATGTTTCTCTTGTGCCATTTTAATTCCATTCAAGAAAAAGAAATGGATGTTGCTGTTTTGTAGTGTCTTTCAGTACAAATCACTACACTATGTGATATAATCCTTTTATGGTTACTTGCACTATGATCATATTTTTCCCCCCAGTTTAACAAAACCCAGATGAACTGGCCAGACAGAAGATGTCTGACCTCCATTCAAGCTCAGACAGTATTTACCTCTAGTGAAATAAATTATTTCTACTTCCAAACAATCTTGTCAATATGTCTTCTCTGCAATGTGTTGGAATTCATCATCTCCTTTTCTTTCTCTTTGCCCTACCATTTAGTAAATATATCATTGTGACTAACAGATAAAAAGGTATTTTGAACATTATTTAAGAAAAATTAATGGTCATTTTATCAGCAGATGAAAATCACTGTTGTTTCTCAACATTAACTGTCCTTATGTCAAGTTACAAGAACTCGCAAAATTACAAAACCTATGTAGCTGCAAACAACTCTGACCATGTTTAAAACCATTCAGATGCCAGATTTCCCTGGCAAGGGTGTATTATAAAGAAGTCTACATTCACAATAGTATATTCAGCATGAAAATTCACACCAGATCAGATCAACCTTCCCTGATCCACATCTGACCCTGGGCAGTAGAGGACACAGGACTGTGTGGATATAGACAAGACCCAGCAACCACCTCCAAGGATACTTTCCCATCCTTGGTATGGCCAAGTGAGCATCTCTATATTCCCCTAGTTTCTCACCAAATAGATCTACCTCTGTAGAGTCTATTCGATAGCTGAGTTATAACCACATGGGCCACTAAGCCTTGCTGTGTCACCCTGAATATTGGAGATTAGGATGCTTTTGTCCATTTTAGGAGGAAAAAAATGTAAATCCTTATTTCAGGATTGCTTGATACTCATTGCAGTGAACTATGGGCTTGTTCTCAGTTGCCAGGCTTGCCCTTTTCTCTGGTCCTCACCTCCATCTCTATTTCATCTTCCCCAATTGCTTTCCTCAGTCTGTGGACTTTTCAGTCCTGCAGGGTTTGTTCACATTCTCTCACAAGGGGTGGCTCTTGCTTGAATACTCTCATGTAAGTGGCTCAGGCAATAATATCAGAGTACTGAAGATAATTGTCTGCACTCTGGATAGCTCTGGGGTAGCCATTGAAGCACATATGCTGGGTCTGTGAATGGCTTGTGCAGCTACGCTCAAATCTTGATTTCCTATGCATACCTTTCGTTAGTGGGTCCCTGGAGGGGAGAGCAGCCACACTTCCCTGCCACCTGCTCTTTGTTCCTGGAGGCTCTTTTCACTTCAGGAAATGATGCCGTGCCAATTCCCCACAAGGAATGTCTCAATTCAGCCCTGTGCTCTTATTCCACGTAC